ATTTGTTCTCACTTTTATTTGTACTAAGATAATCTTTTATAAGTTAGTATTGTTTATTCATTTAACCTCTTGGATCTGGGTGATATAACCATCATATCTTGAGTGACAGTTAACCTAAACATATTGTCATGGAAAAGATTGGCTGAGGGCTGGGTTGACAGGAACGTGCCTTCATGAAAATTTTGGCTGAAGGCTAGGGTTACAAAATTGACTTGCCACAACAGCAGAAATCTCTTGGAGAGTAACAAGACTGTGGGTATTTAGGAAGGGGCTCTTACATTATTCCTATTGGTAAAAGAATGTAAAATGTACCATCTTTGAGCCATGACTGGAAGAGCGCCAGCTCCATGTTGCACACTATTTCCATGCTCAGGATCCTATTCCTGCCTGCTGTGACCATAGTCCAGGTTGTATTACACACATACGCACACGCACATGCACCCACACACACTCATGCTCCCACAGACACGCATGCACCCACACACACGAATGCACCCACACACATGCATGTACCCACACACATGCATGCACCCACACACATACACATGCACCCACACACATACACATGCACCCACACACATACACATGCACCCACCCACACACACACACACACCCACACCCACACCCACACCCACACACACACACACACACACACACACACACACACACACACACACACACACACACACACACACACACACACACACACACACACACACACACACATGTGACATGTTTTTTTTTTTTCATTTCTCTGCTTGTTTATCTACAGGAATTTTCATGAAAGGTGAGTAGTGGGGGGCAGTCCCCCCTTCCCCCTTGTCCTATGCCTTTGATATATATATGTATGTTACACAAGGCACTGGTAATTTTCTTATTTCTTTTATCTGAGTAATGCCACTATTCATTGGGTTAAAAGTATATGAGTGTAATTATATGAACTCCATTAGTTCATATTGTTAGGCACTGGACAAAAATTGTTTTTATCCATAATTTCTATATGCCATTATTACTTGTATTCCATTCTCTTAAGAGTAGGGTTCTGTTGGCGTAGTGGGAGAACTCATCTTCCCTGCATGTATTAGGCAAGTTTGACTTGTCAGTGCATATATGATTTTCTGTGGGGATCAGTAAAACACAGAGTTGATGTGCCTAACTCAATGTATTCAGAAGAATCTACGTGGCACTACAAGGGGTTTACATTACAATATAATATAGAATATAAAAATTTGCCGTAAGATGGCGTACATAAAAGAAAATATACTTTTATATGGGTAACTTAACAAAATATAACTTTACCTTAGTTTAGGTAATATGAGGTATATCATAGACATATATGAGGTATACTTATAGTAATAAACATCTTTAATTACTCTAACACCCCCTCTTAATTAAAGATGGGTATGTTATCTGAGAATTTATCCCCTGATATAATTAAAAGCTTGCAACTTCTTCTGGCTTACAGGCTTTGTAAAAATATCAGCTGGATTCTGTTGTGTAGGAACATAAATAAGTTTACATTACCCTTCTCTACTTCATCTCTAATGAAGTGGTAACGAATATCAATGTGCTTTGATCTTTGGTGATTAACTGGGTTTTTGGCAAGATTAATAGCACCTTGGTTGTCAACTCCTAAGTCTACAGACTTTAACTTTAATCCTAATAGATCAGACACAATTTGTCTTAGGAACTTTGCTTCCTGAATGGCATAGGTAATAGCCATGTACTCTGCTTCACAAGATGAAAGTGCTACTGTCTGTTGTTTCTTACTTTTCCATGATATAAGTGGTCCATCTTTATGTAACTGAAAACAATATCCTGATATGCTTTTTCTGTCTTCAGATGATCCCCAGTCTGAATCACAAAATCCTTTAAGTTGAACTGATTCATTTGACTTTTTGAATGTAAGACCATACATCATTGTACCTTTCAAATATTTGAGCACATGCTTAGCAGCATTTAACTGAGCTTTAGTAGGCTTGGACATATACTGTGAAAGTTTAGTGACCACATAGCACAAATCTGGTCTAGTACCTGTCATAATATATATGAGACTACCTACTATTTCTCTGTAAAGAGTAGCATTAGCCAACTCATCAGATTCTACTGTTGAGGTGTTAACAATACTTGGATCACATGGTATATTTCTTGCATAACAATCTGACATGTTAAACCTATCCAAAATCTTCTCTACATATTTAGTTTGGTTCACCTCAATGTTATCTTTACCAGAAACAAATGACATTCCAAGAAACCAGTTTAGTTTACCTAAATCAGTCATTCTGAAATTTTGACAAAGAGATTGTTTAAATTTGTTCATCAGGGACATGTTACTGCTGGCAATAATTAAATCATCTACCCATAAGAGCACAATAATATCATGCTTTAGATACAGACAATGATCACTCTGTGATTGTTTGAATCCTTCTGAAATGAAGAAATTATGGATTACACTATTCCACATTCTACCACTTTGTTTCATAAAGTGACTTTTTCAGCTTGCAATACAACACATTTCCTGCACTATCTTTTTCTTCATAACCTTCAGGTTGTTCCACATATATTTCATGATCAATATCAGCATGTAAGTAAGCTGTTTTAACATCCATTTGATGTATTACCATGTCCTTCTGTACAGCCACATCCAATAAAACATGGAGTGTAGACATTCTTGCTGTTGGTGCAAAAGTTTCTCTGTAGTCAATGTCCTTCACCTGTGAATATCCTTTAGCAACATATCTTGCTTTAAATTTTTCTTTGCCATTTGGTCCAGGCTTTACTTGATAAACCCATCTTCCACCTACTGCTGTACGTGACTCAGGCAGTGTAGTAAGTTCATAGGTATCGTTGTCTTGAAGTGAAGATATTTCCTCGTCCATTGCTTTCTTCCACTGAGGTCCCTCTTGAGATGTTATAGCTTCTTGGTAGGTGACTGGTACTGGTATGTGTGACACTTGGTAGCAATGATAAATGAAGCTTTTGTGTGTCACACTGGATATAATGTCGTCTAGGTCATCAGTAACGATGCAGATTATAACCTTCTGGACGTTCTGAAGCATACTATATGGAGCGCAAGATGTAGTTCCAGTATGTCCAACGCTCCGATGAAGTGTTCTTCTCACAAATCATATTTGTTTGCATCACCATCAAACTGCTTAAATCTGGGCCCTTAACCTGTTGGCCTAGTGGGAGAACTCATCTTCCCTGCATGTATTAAGCAAGTTTGACTTGTCAATGCATATATGATTTTCTGTGGGATCAGTAAAACACAAGAGTTGATGTGCTTAATTGTATGTATTCAGGAGAATCTCCATGGTACTACTAGGGGTTATTTACATTTCACGAGTATAAAAATTTGCCGTAAGATGGCGTACATAAAAGAAAATATACTTTTATATGGGTAACTTAACAAAATATAACTTTACCTTAGTTTAGGTAATATGAGGTAAATCATAGATATATATGAGGTATACTTATAGTAATAAACATCTTTAATTACTCTAACACCCCCTCTTAATTAAAGATGGGTATGTTATGGGTTCTAAGTTTGTAAAAGTGATCAAATGTCCTATAAGTTCAAAGATTCCCTGATGGCTGGGTTTTTATAGAACATTGCCATGCATTGATTTTTCATAAGCTCCTTTTCATTTTGGTTTGGACTTATTGACAGTCTGGACTGAATGATAATGGAATTTGGACATCTGCAAGTACGATACTTGCGGCTGATTGTATGTATATATATATGTACTTATAAATATGTACACGCACACACACCGCACGCACCACACATGTGCACTGACACACGTGCACTTGACACACGTGCATTGACCACACGTGCACTGACACACACACACATGCACACACACACACCACACACACACACACACACACACACACACACACACACACACACACAACACACACACACACACACACACAAATTTATAAAGATATTATAATTTTGAAGGTTTACCTTCATTATAGATGCCATTGGCTAAAATCTTTACCATATGAATGAAGCCATTCCTATCGGAGAAAAACAAACTCCGTCCGACGAGCCAGTGGTGTGGGAATGGGCATGATACGATGCCATCCGTGTTTCGGTTCACATGTACGTACATGCCACCCATCTGCTAGGGGTTAATATATTGCCTTGTGGCCGGCCCCCTTGTTTTCAGTTCAGTTGAATGGGGATTGATTGTGTGTATGTTTTTTTTTGGGGGGGAGGGCGAGGGCCCGGCCAGAGCCCGAATATATATTTATATATATCCATATATATATGTATCATGCTCAAAATGCAATTTAGAGGCTCCACCCCAAAAAGGTGACTCATGTACCAACACCCGCTATATTTAAAGGGAATGTGAGATTTTAAACCATGCCCAATTGCCTCTACTCTATCATAGCCTTCCATAGCACCATCGATCATCTCCCTAACCCATTCCGGTGTTTAGAGATGTTTAAGGGGTCTATAAGGGGTATACGAGTACTCAAACCATATCCATTCTCATTTACTCTGTGATAGCTTTCCATAGCACCCTGGATCACCTCTGTAACCCTTGCTGTTGTTTAGGGGTGTTGTAAGGGGTATGAAAATTTTCGTACTGTACCCAGTCTAATTTAGTAATTTACTCTCTGTTAGGTTTCCATAGCACCCAAAATAAACCTGAACCATGTACTGTTGCTTCAATATTTAAGCATTTTTTTTTAGGGGGTTTTCGCATCCTGACCCCTTATAGGGATCCCTTATCAGAACGCCACATAGCCTAAGCCACGCAGGACCTCTAAGACTTTTCTAACATGCCCAACTCCTTATGGTTGCTGAGAAAAAGGGAACTTTAGTAGGTCTCTGGTTATGGTTTATGGTTTTATAGTACGAAAGTTGTTAATACATAACCCTGTGGCTGGCCCCCTTGTTTTCAGTTCAGTTGGATGGGGACTGATTGTATTTTTTTTTTTTTTTTTTTTTTTTCCAGGGCAAGGGCCCTGGCCATGGTCTG